GTACAATTCAAGTGGCATGTAATTTGGGTTGAGAGAGAGTTGATGGAAGATGAGAGAGATGTAATTACAAGGGACTACAAAATTGAAGATGATGATTTCACCGTTAAACCATTTTTTCCACCACGAACTTACATATTTCCCACTCATGAATTTAGCGAGAGAGAAGAAGAGAGAGTGTGTTCTATCATGTACATCATAATTTAATTTTAAAAATCAAATAATTACCAAGATCAAACACCAGTTTAAGCAGAGGTTTAGAAAATTACATAAATATCTATTTTTTAAAGTTATTTAAATCTTATCATTAATTTCTCTCCCTTATTTCATCTTCCCACGTTTTACCTCGTTTTTTACCGTTGTATCAAACAATTTTAAATGATAAAGTAGCCCTTTAATAAAAAACAAAGGAAGCAAAGAGAGAGACTCACATACGTGATTTAAATCAAAAAAATTAAAAAGTATGAAATATTATATCCTAAATAGAATGGAATTTATTTCCCTACAAAGTACCCAAAACTTCTGGTCACTTGCCCAACATACTTTCTAAGATGGGCTCCCTATTTATTCTTGTGACACATATCTACCCATTGAATACGACTAAATATAAAAATTTATGAAATTAAAACCGAACTAGTCAAATAGAAATAATATTATGAAGTATAACTAAATAATTCACCAAAGGAAGTTTAAATATCACATTAATAAGAATTAAAAAATAGTAACACGCTATTGCTAAACCATAAAAATTAATAAATTATATTATATAATAAAAAAATTTAATCAAGACAACGCACATGTGTTATTTGAAACAAAAAATAAAATAGCTCTCTACATCAAAAAGGAAAAAAAAAAATGTTCCATTGTATCTAACATGCAGGATCCAAAATTGCCTATACAAATAAAATAAAAATAATAAAAATAATAAAATAAATTGTTATTTTAAAACAGAGAGAATAAGAAGGATATAGTGCTCCTAGAAAATAGCAAGAGAAGCTAGAGAAGAGGGGAACATTAAGTTATGAATAATTTTAATATGTCCAACTCTATAATTAAAGTATAATTATTATAAAATCTTAAAATATAGTTTAAAATAAATTTTAGAACAAACAAATTAATAATTATAATACATACTTTTTAAAATAAAAAATCAAAGTAGATATATTATTTAATAATAAAGCAATGTTCTAAAAAAAAAAAAAAATTTCTTTCTCCCTAGCATGATAGATTAAAATGAGTCATTTTTATAAATAAAAGAACCCTAAAATAAAAATAAAAATAATTCTTTTTCTTTATAAAATATGTAGTTGGAGAACTTTTCTCATTCTTTACCTTTTCCTTATGCTTTCAAAAATATTTCTAATCTTTAAATAAAATATTGCAATATGGATGCTAGGGAGAATGAAAATTCTAATATTTTGTTTAAACTTTTATGGAATTCTTATTTTTAAATTGTAGATAATATACCTATTTTATTTCGCTAAATTTATAGAAACATATTATTAATTACTATTTTTTATGTTTTTAATTATTAAGTCTTGGACATCACCTTAAAACTAATATAAATTTTTGTTTTTGCGTTTTAATCATTACATCTTGTATTGCCTAAAAAAAATATTTTTTGATTTCGTTAAACTTTAAAAGTGATGCAAAAGGGAATGGAACATAGAAGACAATACTAATATAAATTATAAAAATAGGTCGTAAATAATTACATATACTAAAGTTATAGTTAATATGTAAACAAAATTACATATATCTGGTAAACAAAGATAGTAAAATATATTGCATATATACTAAAAAGTATTAGACTTTGTAACAAAAAATTAGCCAAATATTAATTAGCTTATTTATCATAAACTAACATGTAATTCTCTCCCCATACTATCTTTTATAACTTAAAAAAACATGAAATCCAAATTAAAATATAAGTAAATTCAAAAACTAGAAAAAAGAGACAATCCTCGTATTCCATATTGCATAGTACACGAATGAATATTTGTGTTAAAAAAAAATTTTAAACTAAAAAATTACAATTCAAATATATAATTCGTTTTAGATAACATAAGGAGAAAATTATTGCAGTATATTATTTAACACAAATAAAACATTTATAAACTCTACTTTGAACAACATAATAGTACAATGTAATCTATTTACTTTATTTGCATATTTAGCTTATTTTAAGAATGTCTTACAATTTTACAAAAGACCATAATATGATAACTAAAAAATTAATATGTATAAGGTTTCAATATAGTAACTTCCAACTTGTAAGCGCTTTTACAATTAAATGTGTTAAATCCCTTAAAAGATGATTCCAAAATCCAAGAAATGTTGTTTTAAAATAAGAAAGAAATGAGTTTGTTGCTCCTCCTTTTCTTTTCATTTTTTTTCTTTTTATTTTATTTTAATTTGCAAGGACTTTTATATTTTTAAAAATATTTAAAAAGCGTGTACAGAAAATTGTAAAAGAACATAAATAAGTTTGGAGCTTTTTTTTTTTTTTTAATTTAGTTTAGAAAATTTAAGAAAAAGAGGGAGAATTAAATTTCTATTTTTTGATATCTAATTTTTTATATTTTTCTTTGAATTTTCCCCCGAAATTTAACACTAGGAGAGTTTGTTTTTTGTATATAATGTAGTATTTACTTTAGAAAATGTAAAAAAGCTTGAAATAAATTATGTTTTTCCTTGTTTGCAGTATTTTTTTTTTTATATACTAAAAAATATGATAATCTTTTATAACTTCTAAAAGAACAATATTTGGTTCCCTTATGAATGTGAAGAAAAACTGTATTTAGTCAATGTTCATAAATATCAAAGAGTGGAGGAGCGGGAGAGAAAGGTAGTAAAAGGAGGAGAGGGAGAGAGATAAAAAAAGAGAGATTTAGGGAGGGAAACATTGAGAGAGGGATTTTGAGACGGAAACATTGAGAGAGAGATTTCGAGAGAGAAACAGTGGGAAACACTGAGACAGATATTTAGGGATGGAAATACTGAGAGAGACATTTATGGATGGAAACATTGAGAGAGAGATTTAAGGAGAGAGAGAAATGAGATGAGACCAAGAAATAAGAGAGAACGAGGCAGACCACAAGAGAGACTTAAGGGAAAAGATTGTAGGAGAGACTTGATGAGCGGAAAACCTTTGATTTTCAAACTTTTTAAAAAGAGAGAGATAACAGTTGAATTGTAATAGTTTTTAAGCAAAGAGAGAGATTAAGAGAGTGGAGAGAGGGACACGTGTTGCACAAAACTTTAAGCAATCTCCTCTATTGAATAATACACAAAAATATTGTATAATAAATCAAATACAATTACATTGATATAGATGAAAAATTGAATAATGGCACATCTTTTCTATAATATGGACTTCTACTTTCAAGTTTTGAAGTACAAGAAGTAAATAATCTCACAAGATTTCATTGTTTTTAGAACCATAAAATTCATAAATAATATATATAGCTATTTAAATAACCAAAAAAGGTAAGAAACTATTTTTTTATTATTTCTTGCTTTTAAAGAAAAGTCATCACAAATTATGAAAAATATTATAAATGCCATTATAGGAAATTTGATAATTGGCCATAAACTATTTTCGGAGAATGATATTTCCCTTAAATGCCATTATAAGAAATTTGATAATCGGAGAATGAAATTTCCATTAAAAAATAAATTTTATGCATTAAAGGTTTCTAAAATAAATAATGTTTGACATAAATGAAATTTAAAAACATTTGAAGTTCAAGATATAAAAGATCTTTAATTTCAAATATATTTGTATCAAAGTTGGCTTTTTAAATATTATATAATCATATGAGTCTCTCCTACTATTTTATACATGAGTTTCCCTCTCATTTTTTTCCTAAAATATCTCTCTTCATATTATCTCATAATTTTCTTTATATAAAAGGTTCTTGATTTTCTCTATCTATTGTTTGATTTGCATTGCTTAAAAAATGACACGATAATCCAAATCCAACAAAGCTATTGTAGAGAGAGTCTCACCTACTATTTTACAATTGAGTCTCCATCTTATCTTTCTCCTAAAGTATCTCATTCTCCATATTATCTCAAATCTCCATGTGCTATTTGTCTAAAAGCCCATTGATTTTCCCTATCTATTATGTAACTTGTGTTGCTTAAAAATAGCAAAATAATCCAAATTTATTTGAACATTATTCTTTCTCTGCCCCCTAAAGATGACCCCCCCCCCCCCCCTTCACCAAACAAAAAAATACTAAAGATGAGGGAGTGTTACTTATATAATATAGTTACCTATCTTTATAGCAATCGGTCCCTTCTTATTCTTGCGACATGTGTCTACCCCTTGCATTTGACTTAATAATGTAGTCTCTCTCTCTCGCCTTCTCTC